GTTATTTTTTGTTTTCTTATTTATGTATTTATTTTTTTATAATATATATAGTATATAATATAGTTAATTATATATACGACAGCTTTATGTACAAGAGTTTTATAGAAGAGTTTTATAGAAATAGTGTACAACTTTTTTCATAGTTCTTTAGTCTTACTTGGTGCCATTTCCTGATATCATATTTTTTTGTAGAAAGTATATATAATAGCTTTTTTAAAAATTTTACTATATACAAGTTTTTTTTGAAAGGTTTTAATATCTATGACAGGTTTTTTTGAAAAGTTTAATATATACGACAATTTTTTTAAAAGATAAAACAATATGGTTTTGTTTTAGTTGTGACAAGAGCGTGTACTTGGCGCCTTTCTTTTACCTTTTTTTAAAAAAGGTAATTTTTTGAGAGATATTATTTCTTTTTTTGTAATATATATACGACAGCTTTTTTTGATTTAATATATAGGTACGACAATTTTTTGAAAGGTAAAACAATACTGCTTTGTTTTGATTCTGATAAAATTGACTGAAAATTATAAATGTTGAAACTAATTTAGGATCTGTCAAGAAAGCACACGTTTCAGAAATTTTGTATGATTTGTCTAAAATAAATAAAATTAAATACCAAAGTTTAATATTTCTGTTCTATGTATCCTAAATTAATTCCAACAATATTTATAATTTCCAGTCAATTTTAATCAGTCAAGAAAGCACACGTTTCAAGATTTTAGTATAATTTATCTAAAATAAATAAAATTAAATGTCAAAGTTTAATATTTCTGTTCTACGATCCTAAATTAGTTCCAACAATATTTATAATTTTCAGTCAATTTTATTTTGTGTATTACAAGATTTCTCGAGTTTGTTTATAATCGAGTTTGTTTATAATTTTTGTTTTTTATTTTCTATGGACATAAAATTGACTGGAAATCATAAATATTGGAACTAATTTAGGATAACTACAAAAAGTATCTTATGCTATATTTTTTTTATATATAAAATAAATTTTATATATAAAATATAAAATTGACTGGAAATTATAAATATTGTTGGAACTAATTTAAAATACATAGAACAGAAATATTAAACTTTGCGATATTTAATTTTATTTATTTTGGACAAATCATACACTAAAGTCTCGAATGATGTGCTTTTTTGACAGAATGTATTGTAAAATTAATTTATACAATCATACCAATCATCACTATGTTTTATAAGACCATTGTTTAGAAACTTTAGTGTATGATTTGTCTAAAATAAATAAAATTAAATATCAAAGCTTAATATTTCTGTTCTATGTATCCTAAATTATTTCCAACAATATTTATAATTTCTGGTCAATTTTAATTTTGTGTATTACAAGATTTCTTGTCGAGTTTATGTTTATAATTTTTGTTTCCTATTTTCTATGGATATAAAATTGACTGGAAATTATAAATATTGGAACTAATTTAGGATAATCACAAAAAGTGACTTATGCTATATTTTTTTATATATAAAATTGACTAGAAATTATAAATATTGTTAGAACTATTTTGGATAATTTAAAATACGTAGAATTGAAATATTAAACTTTGAGATATTTAATTTTATTTATTTTAGACAAATCATACACTAAAGTTTTTTGACAGAATGTATGGTAAAATTAAAACACAATACTTATAACCTATATACATATACACTTATTTTACTTAATACATTTATATTGAATTTGATCACTCGCACTACACTGCACTACACTACTCTGATGAACACGAATAAAAAACTGGTGAACATTAAGCAGCCTTGAGTGTGCACCAGTGCAATGTAGTGCGAGTGGCCGAATTCAATATTATTCTTTTGACACATCTTCTGTAAGGTTATTTGGTATGCGCGGCTATTTCCTATAGCGCCACCAACACAAACCCAACTACTAACATCACTATAGCCATCTAGTGTGAAAAATGTTGACTGTACATCCTAGAAATTGAGATAATATTTTTGACATTTCGACTTTGGACTTTTATATATTTATTTATAAAGCACGTAGAGCAAAAACAAGCATACTTTTATTATATATTTTGGGTATGCGCTATTGATTGAGACCATTATCAACTCGATCGGTCCAGGCATTATTGAGTTCCGATAATCTTGGCTCTCTGGGCTC